GGGGGGGGGGGGGGGGGGGGGGCGGCCCAGGAGGGGGGCAAATGGAAGCGCCGCCGAGGGGAGCCGCCCCCGGCCGGACGGGGCCCAGGGCGCGGGGAAGGGCGCGGTACTTGCCGGCGGGAAGGTGCCGCCGTCGCCCCGCAGCAGCTCCCCCGAGCTGGCCGGGATGGCCGAGGCCGACATGAGTCGCGCGCGCCAGACAGACGGAGAGGCCGCCAAGCCAACAGCCGCCGCCACCTCCGCGCCGGAAATGCGGCCGGAAGAGGCGGGGCCGGCGGGGCCGAGGCTGCCGGGATAGGTAGTCCGGCCGGCGTGGCGCTGCCGTGGCTGCCCCGGAAGCCGCTCTCACTGCGGGGGTTCCTCGGCCTCAGTCCCGGAGCGAGAAGGGCTGCTCCGCCGCCTCCCTCCGGCCCTGCTTGCGGCACAGCCTGTTTCCCAGCGCTCTGGGACGCGGTTGTCCCAAAGGCGCTTCCCCCTCCCGGCCCCTTCAAAAGCAGCCAGCTGGGCCTTCCCCCCCCCTTGGCGTTTCGCTTCTCATCCAAGAAGCTTCCTCGGTTCTTCAGGCAGAAGGCGAAAAAGGGTGGGCTCGCCCCCCCCACCCCGCAACCACCCCATTTGCCCCCGAGGGAAACAGCTGCCAAGAACTTTGGGGCGAACTTCTTCCCGGAGGGAGGGAGGGAGGCAGGACCCCCTGAATGCACCCCCGGGTGGGACCTGGTGGTGCTAGGACCTGCTCGGCCTCTCCTGACACAGAATCCTCCTACCTTTTCCTCAGAACGGATTAAAAGCCGTTCTGAGAAATTCCTAAGAGAAATCTCTCGAGAGATCTCCTTTCCCTTAAACTCAGGAAAAGCCTGGTGCTCCTGCATCAGTGACATTGGGGGGATTTGCCAGGTCCAGACTCGGAGGTTGAAGAGGGCTGCGCTTGTATACTTAACAAATTTAACCCATGTTCTATGTCCGCACATTGCACCAAACCATAAATTAACCACAGGCTGACTTCATATAACAAACTCAGCCAAGAAAAGTCAACCCCAACCCCAGATGACACCAGGTTTCCCCACAGAAAGATGCTATCTATAGGACAAACCACCTTGGGAAGCTGTGAAGTATCTCATAACCTTTATTTCTTTAGCCTTTCGTCTTTCACACAAGAGGAAGGTAGAAAATCAGTGATCCGCTTCTGCCTGGCCAAGATCTCCAAGGGGGATGACTGACAGGCAGCCTCTGAAGCCAGGAAGGGGCTTCCCTGAGTCCCTCAGAGCTTCGGGACACCTGCCTGAGCTGCCACCCTTCTGCTCCTCCGGCTGCCCAGCCAACAGGGCAGGACAAATGGCGGCCAAAAGTTTCAAAGGGACCAGGAACCCCCCAGGGCTTTTTGGTGTCCGAGAGGAAGGCCAAGATGCTGGATGGTCAGGGGCAGATGGCTCAAAGAGGAAAGGGATTTTGAGGGCTGGGGACAAATGGCGCACCTTCAGGTCCCTGCCTGAGGAGAGGAAGCCGAAGCGAGGATCAAGGCCGCAGCATCTCTGCGCCTCCTGTAAGGCAGGTTGGGCAGGTGGAGTTTGCATCACCTGTGCAGGCCCCTCCTCCCCCTCCCAAAGACCCCAAGAAGTGCCCCAACTGCACCTGCTAGCATCCCAGGCCCAGATGCCCCCTAAAGGGGAACCAGAAGGGAGGGGGTCCTGCGGGAACAGCCCCTCCCCTGGCTCCCTGCCCTTCCAAGCAGCCCAGGAGCCAGACCAGTGGTCCCTACCCTGTGCTACAGCCCAGACAAGCCTCCCTCGTCCTGCAGAATGCCCAGCCGGGACCAGGAATGGCCCCGGCTCAGAGAGAGAGGCGGCTTCTTGTGAATTTGCTCCTGAACCAAAATCGGGGGTTGCCCATTGCAGAATCTTGCCAGAGCAAGGAAGGCCTCCTACGTGGGACTGCGCTCCTTCCCACCCCTCCGCCCCCACTCCCAGGGAGGCTGGGAGGCCCAGCAACTCAGATGCCCCCCAGAGGAGGGAGGGCTGCTTCGTGCAGGCGCTGGAGGCCCAGCTGGATCCAGGGCGGCTGCTGCTGCTCAAGCCTCCGAAAGGGGGTTCATGCAGGAGAGGGCGGGCATCTTCCAGTGGCGAGCCCCACGCAGCCGCAGTGCCAGCCACTCCTGCTGGGCCAGGCTCAGGTAGGTCTCGGAGCTTGTGCCACCTCCTGGGGCACGGCTCAGCAAGTCAGCTGCCCAGCTCTCTGGCCCAGCTCTCCCGTGGGCGGGCAGCCCTTCCAGGTGCTCCAGGTTGCTGAGGCTGCCCGGGCTGGCGTGCCAGGACCGCATCCCATCACCTGCGCCTGGAGCAGAGGGGGGGGGGGGAGAGGCTCAGCTCAGAGGCAGCAAAGGCCACCAAGCAGAGAGAGAGCCAGCCAAGGGCAAGGACCCTGGGCAGCATGGATTGGTGGGCACAGAGAGTCCCTGCACTGGGCCCCTGGGTCTCCTTCCCAGCCACGCCACGTCTCCTCAGCCGAGACCCTTCTGTGGCCCATGGCTCCAAATCCCAGTCCGTGGCCCCTTCCCTCTAGCCAGTCCACAGTGCCCCCTTCCCCTACAGGGCCAGGCGGAGGAGAGGGCGGGTTGCCCACCACCCTCCTGCACCCCTGCCCCCCCCTCCCCACCGGGCGGCACTCACAGCACTTCTGCAGGGCCTCCCAGCTGAGTGAGGACAAGGCGCCCCTGTGGGGCTGCTGGAGGAGGCAGGCGATGGCGTTGTCCGTCTGCTGGAAGACCCGAAGGGAGAGAACCAGCTTCTTCACCTCTGCGGGCAGCTCGAACTTCTCCGACTGCAGGGCTTCGCGCACCAGATCAAAGTCCCGCTTCAGCTGCAGAGCTCCCTGAAGGCTGAAAGGGTCAGTTGGCAAAGGGCGCCTGCCGGCCGGACCAGGAAAGCATCCTCCGACAGGTCAACTCACCTGAACTTGATCTTCTGGGCCAGAATGTGCTCCATCCAGGCTTCCAAGAAGGCCGTTGTGACCCGGCTGAGGACCAGAGCCTGGGAATCCTGGGGCAGCCACCGGACGCCTTGCAAGGCTGGAGCCAGGATAGCTTGAGCTGCAGCCTGGGCGTACTCGCTGGCAGCGGAGGGCAGCTCTGCAAGGGCAGGGCGGGTGAGGGCAGGCGCAGCCAGAGGCAGGCAGTGGCTGCTCTCCCTCTTCAGCGCCCTGCCCCCCCCCTCCCGGGCCCCTTTGGGTGATCTGCAAATCCCTCCCCACTGCTGTTTGGACGAGAAGTGGACGTGGAGACCCTCCTGCTGGTCAGCCTGAATGAGCCACCAGTGCCCGGCCTTGCAAAGAGAACCCTCTGCCACCTTCCATTCACGCATACCTGCCTGGAGGGCGAGGCGCCAGTATTTGCCAAGCGGCATGGCCTGTCCGAAGACCTCTGCTGACACGCGTCTGCAGTCCACACAGAACAACTCCAGCACGTCATTTGCAAAAAGCTGTGGGGGGGGGAAGGGTGGCATGGGCAACCCTGGTCTGCCTTATGACCCTAACACGGCCCAGCCGCACCCCGGCCATTCTAGGAGCCCAAGGGCCCCTTTTGGTCTTCTCCTTCCTTCTCCTCCTCCAGGCTCAAGACATCACGGGGGTCTTTAGAGCCCCCCACCCCCACCCCACCCCGTTGCTCAGGAAATAAACTCAACTGCCCAGCTTCCGCCTGGGCCCAGCCAGTCAAGGAGCCGCCTTCTCTGCTAGTGAAATTGCCCTGATCTATTGGAGCGTCTCTTGGAACATCACGCTGGAATGCTGTAAATAAATCCACACTTCCGCATCCTGCTCTTGGGGGCGGCTGAGAAGGACTTGTGAACAATTTTGAAGAGTTCTTCTGCACGCCCAGCTCTTCCCCCCAAGACCTGCTTTCTAGCCCTTTCACTGCCCTTATTGCTTCCCTATAGCCAGCTTCTTTGACCGGCTCCGCCTCAGGAATTCCAAGCCAAAGTTTGGCCAGCCAAGCATCTCCTGGGAGCTCCTGGCCAGAGCAAACAGGGAAAGGAGCACACCAGGACAGAGCCACCTGGGCCAGAGAAGGAAGCCTCACAGAAAGGCTCCAGGAGGGGGGAGGGAGGGAGGGAGGGAGGTTCCCCTGGGGGAGCAAGGAGACCTCCTTAGGACAGTCAGAGAAGTAACCCCTGGGAGAGGAGAAGGGGGACGGACGGACGGTGTGAGTCCAGGCACGAGACATCAGGTTCCTCTCTGGGCCGACTGAGCCCAGCGACTGGCAGCGGCTCTCAGAGTGAGCCTTGCCCCCCGCCCTCCCCCCACAGGCCCCAGAAACTCAGGGGCGACCCAGGAAGAGCAGCCAGGGAGGAGCCAAGCCTGACAGGAGGTTGGTGTGGCAGAGAGGCTGCCAAGGTCTTTCAGCCAAAGACCCATCCGAGAGTGGAGAAGGTTGTGATGCAACCTGACTGGCTCTCCAGAGAAGAGAACGAGGAAACACGGGAGGCTGCCAAAGTTTTGCTCAGTCTTTGAAGGGGTGGAAAGTGACCCATAAGGCAGGTTTCCTTCCTTGAGCCTGGGCTCTGCTAGGAGGCGGCTAGAGGGACCACCTCTCTCAAAGGCCAAGGAAGGTTCTGCAGGTGCCCCACCAATTTCAGCAAAGGAGAAAAAGGGAAGGAGGGACAGAAGAGCCTGGACTTTCAATATAAGGACAGGACTTCCAACACAGTGGAGAAAGCGGCAAACAGGATGGTGCAGATGGGAAAGCAAAGGAAAAGGGGGAAAAGGCATTTAAAGCTCTCCAATATTGCCGAGAACATGAGAGGAGGGGCTCAGAAGGAGCTGCGGCCTACAATCAATGCCTCCAACAGCAAAAAAAGCCCTGAGCCCATAGGGGTAAGAAGTGGGGGGGGGGCTGCCAGGGAGGTCATCAACTTGACCTTAGCAAAGTGTTAAAGGCTTTTAAAGGGGGCTACACCCCTACATGGAGGGCTGAGTAACACGAGTAATTGTTGCTATGGCATGAATTGGAGGGTTAAGGACGCTGGTGACCAGGAGTGGAAGGGACTCTCGTTCTCTCCGCCAGGGCATTCGGCTGCCCCTACCCCACAGTCTGGCCAACCAGAGGAGCCAAAGATGAAATCAGGCTAAGGGCCCTCCTGCTGCTCCTATCATCTCTGGAGGCCCTTCGCCCACAAGTAACGAGGGGAGGCAGAGCCTGGCATGCAGCATTGCCCTGGAGAAGGAAGTGGAGAGGACGAAGGGAAGCAACGTGGAGCTTCTGCCTCTGCCAAAACAGCTGGGGTTTCAAGCCTCCTTCTGGGCCTGCTAGGACCAGGGTTCCTGCACAAGAGGGTGGGAAGCCTATGGCTGCATCTCCTGACCTTGTTGGACTCCTCCATGGCCCCACTCGGCTTGTCCAACAACCTTCCTGGGCCACAGTCCCCTCCAAGGCCACAGGCTTACTTGGATGCTGGTGGCTGCCAAGTGGAGTTGCAGGCTCAGCTCCCGCTCCCGATGAGAGGCCACGGGGCCCTGCTTCCCCCCGTCCTCCAAGGCGGCCCTGCTCACCAGCACCAACATCTTCCTGGCTTCCGTTTTCAGCAACTGCAAGAAAAAGCTTCTGTCCTTGCAGGTTACAACAAGGAGCTTCCTTTGGGGCTCCCAGGCCGTCCTCTCAACCACCAGAACCCCCTCCCTCCCTCCCTCCCTCCCTCCCTTCTTCAGGGACGCCTGGATGGCGAGGCCCATCCCCAACCCCTGTCTTTGGAATGGTGAGTTCCAGGCTCCGTTGGATACGATACAACAGAGGAAGACGGAGGCCAGCTTCTGTCAGCCGAAGGCCGGGAGGGCTCAGCTTCAGCTGCTCACCTGCAGATCCCCTTGGGCCACGAGGAGGAACTGGCCAAGGGACCAGGAGGCCAAGTACTGGTAGGCTTTGCTCATGGTCCAGTAGGAAGAGGCACGGCAGGTAGCCACCGCAAGGGAAAGCAGGTGCAGGTGGAGGCTGGCAGGGACCTGGCGCTGCCCTGTGAAAGATCAACCAGCTCAGCTGGCAAAGCGCCCTCCCTGCATGCCCCCCCCCCTCAACACCAAGGCAGGAAAAAGCTGAAAGACCCACCTGGGCCACCAGGGAAAGGCTGGCTCTCCAGGCTACTCATGCTGAAGGCCAGGAGCAGGAAGAGGCTCTGCAGAACCTGCCCTGTCTGGCTGCAGGCCACAGTCGTGGGCTTGGGCAAGCACCTGTCCACAAGGCTGGCGCCCAGAGCGTGGCAGAATCCTGGGCAAAGAGGGGTCGGAATGCAGTTCTCCCCACATCAACCACCCTGATGCCCCCCAAGCAGGGTGGGGATTTTCCCGTCCTGAGCCATCCCAACCCAGGCTGCCCACAGCCCCCCTCCCGATTCTCCCCGAGGACCCTACCTGGGTCCCACTGCCACAGGGCATCACGCTTGAGCAGGCAAAGTGCCGCCTCCTTCAGGGCCTCTGCAGCCTCCGCAGGGAGGCAAGCTGGAAGCAGAAACCGGGATTCACGGTGGCCTCAGTCTGGCAGGGGGCAAAGCCTTTGCTCTCCCCGGGAAAGACAATGGAGGGCAGGACTTCATGGGGCAGGCGGAGGGCCTAAGAGCAGGCAGGCGGGGCCCTCCCAGGGGACATTCCCTGGCATCACAAAGGGGCCTGCGTGGATGTCGACCCACACAAGGCGTCAACAGCTCCACAGTCTCCTCCGTGAAAGGCCCCTCTGCCACCCGTAAAACAGGAACTCCGGGCGGAGAATGTCCTTGGGAGAGGAACCACCATCCCCCGGCCAATGGAAACACCCCAACCGAGGGACAGGCATGGGGCAAGCCACATCTCCTCCAGGCCCACTCACTGGGGCTAAGATGGCAGCAGGAAACGTTTTGAGCGTCATATGCTGAGCAAGGCCAAAATCCAAGCAAGAGAAAAAATCCCACTGGCAAGAAACAAATCTCTCCGGGAAACGGGACCCCTGCTGCCCAGGCTCCATTTCTTACGCTGTCTGAATTCTTGAAGGTCCAGCCTTCACCTGGCCAGGGCAGACCTCAGGTGGGCAGAGCCAGGGCCCAAGGAGGCATTTCTCCAGCTGCCTGCATCTCCCCCCCCCCGCGCCCCCTGGAACCGCCCAGCACGAAGCACTCATCCCCCCCATGCCTGACTTACCCTCCGCCAGAGCGTCGGTCACCCGTTGGCCCAGGGCAGCCCCGGCTCCCCTCTGGAACTGAGCCCGGTGTGCTTGGAGCTCCAGCTGGCGCACCCAGGAGGCCGACGCTGCTTTCCAGAAGAGGGGCCGGTATTCAGCGCAGAGCATCGTGGCCGCTTCAGTGAAAGAGGCATCCAGCCAATCAGAAGACTTCCCCCTGGGCAGTGCGGTATGGGCCAGGCCCTGAGCTGCCTCCGGGTGACCCTGGGGCTGGTCCCACTTGGGCCGGTGCAGGAGGCGGTGCCTCAGGCCGCCAGTGGACGCAAGCAATTCCGGCAGCAGCCCTGTGACCGCCTCCTCCTCCTCTCTGCACAAGGCCTGCAGGTGTGCGGGGCGGCCCTTGTCCACCCCAGAAGCGACAGCCGCTGTGGGCCTCCGATCGCTGGTCCCTGCCTGCCGCCAAGGGAGCAGCAGAGAAAGTCTCTCGCCGGCCAGGCATCCTCTTTCGGCAGCCAAGACAGCCAGCACCCTCTCCACAGAGAAGGCCTGCAGCCCCTCTTGCCCTGGAGCCCCAGGCCCCGGCTTGGCTCTTTGCAGGCCCCACTCGCTCAGCCCCTGGTTGTAGCTCTCCAGGCCCCGGAAGGCCTCCGAGAGCAGAGGGGAGGGCCCGGGGGCTGCGTGCCGCAGCAGGGCGTCCAAGCATCTCTCCAGCAGGCAGAGGGCCTGCAGGGCCAGCAGCTGGAGGGACCGCTTCATGCGCTGCAGCACCTCAGGCTGCCGAAGCAGCAGGGGCCTCAGCCGGGGGTCCCTGCGCAGGTGGCACTGCAGGCAGCCCCAGTGAGAGGTGTGTACCCGCAGCTCCTGGCAGAGTCCCCGCAGCAGTCGTCCCCCGTCAGTGCTCTGCCTGCCGGCCGGTGTCACAAGGCACCACTCGGCTTCCATCAAGCGGCGCACAAAGTCAGAAGCCGCTTTAAGGCGCCGGCAGTAGTGGCGAGCCAGGCGCAAGCAATGCTGGTGCTGCAGCAGGGCGTACACTCTCTTGCGCTGACGGGCCGCACTGCTTCCCCTGGCCCAGTAGGAGAAAGGCCCCCTGGCCGGCTCTGGGGCCGCTTGGAGGCCTGTTGTGCGCAGGCAGCAGCTCATCCCCAGGTAGGTGTTGTCCACTTGGGCCAGGTGGGCCAGGCCGCCAGGCACCTCCTCCTCCTCCTGAGCTGCGATGCCAGGCTGAGCCAGGAGCAGGTGATGCTGGCTGGGGCACAGCAGGGCAGGTAAAGGCACCTCTGCTTCAGGGAAAGGCCTGGCGATCTCTGCCCACAGACCCGACCCTGTGGGGACAAAATGGGGTGCTTACAGCCCCTCCTGGGTTTCTCACCCCTCCCCAGACCCTCCCCGAGGGTGAACGCTCCGGCCGAGGCCCTGGAGCAGGAAGAAAGGCCCAGGGGGAGACGCCCCTCCTCGCTGCCCCCCACCCCACCTCTGCAGGGGGGGGGCTCCTGGACAAGCAGCCCCTTCCCCACCTGGCGGGGGAGCCTCCCTGGGGAAAACATGGGGGAGCCCCGCGGAGAGCAGCCCCGGCTCCGTTGCCCTCCCGGCAGAGCCCGAGAGGCGGCCAAGGCCAACGCACGCACGCCGGGCGCCTTCCAGAGGTGGGAAGGGGCCGCCCCCGGAGTCCCCGCCGCGCTTCAGCCGGAGGCTTCTGGCCCGCCTCCCTCCAGCTTCCCCCTCGGCCTACCAGGCTCGGGGTCCCGCCGCCCGTGATGCTCCATAGCCCGGCGTTCCCTTCCGCGGGGCGCTCCGGAGGGAGAGGGGCGCTGGAAGCCGCGGGACAGCGGGAGCCGCTCCTTCGCCCGGAGCGCCGTTGCCGGGCGGTTCGGCTCCAGGGGCGGGGCGGGCGGCAGTCACGTGGCCGGGGGAGCTGGGAGGCGGAGGCGTCCCCCGGATCTGGGGCGGG